TTTCCTTCTCTTCTTTATCTCTCTCTCTTCTCCTCTCTGACTCCTTCTGGTCTCTCTCTCTCGACTCTCTCTCTGTGTCTCTTCTCTCTCTCTCTCTTGTCTCTGCCCTTGTTTCTTTTCCCCTTTTCCCCTTTTTCCCTCTTTTTTCTCTCTCTCTTTCTCTCTTTTTCTCTTTTCCTCTCGTCTCTCTGCCCCGTCGTCACCCCCCCCCTTTTTCTCCCTTTCCCCCCCCTCCCCCTTCGCCCGCCTGTCCTGTCTCGCCCTTTTTCTCTCCCGCTCCCCTCTCCCATGTTTGCTGTTTAAAGGTTAAACGTGGTTTTTAAAAAATATATTTGTCTATCTACAGTATGTGAACAAAGCACTCCTTCTCTGTGAGGTAGATATTGGTGTACATATCTATACGTGTGCAGACTGCAGTGGCCATGCAGGTTTAGATTCCTGGCAGGTTGACTATATCACACTGTCATAAAGCTGCCTGTTTAACTGTGTGACATCTTGGTCTGTTAGGCAGACAGCATATGTCTGTTACCTCCGCTGGCACAGAACCCAGAGGCTTTTGATCCATCAGTCGGAAAGATAGAGGGATAGGGAGACATAGAGATAAAGGGGTTGAATAAAGGGAATCCCTCGATGAGAGAAAGAGAGAGACCGAAATAGGGAGGAAAGGGAAACAGAAACAGACAACATTGGGATAGGTAGATTTTAAGGCTTGAAGACGTGAGCTGTGTGTGTGTGTGTGTTACCCTTGAGAGAGCAGGAGAGAGCTCCGCTTCTGTTGCCATGACGACAGGACCTATTAGGCAACTGAACTGTGTTGCCATGGCACGTGTCTCCACGGTGATGCAGCCCTGTCCTGACAACACCCACTACCAAACCAACACGTACTCACCAGCTCCCTGAGAGGGAACAGGGAAGGAGAGGAGGCTGTGTGTGTGTGTGTGTGTGTGTGTGTGTGTGTGTGTGTGTCTGTATTTGCCTTTTTGAGTCTACACAGACTGTGAACTCATTGAAAAATGTTTTCCAGATCTGTTTGGTTGTCCTGGCAGCCAGATCTGTTTGGTTGTCCTGGCAGCCAGATCTGTTAGGTTGTCCTGGCAGCCAGATCTGTTAGGTTGTCCTTGCAGCCAGATCTGTTAGGTTGTCCTGGCAGCCAGATCTGTTTGGTTGTCCTGGTAGCCAGATCTGTTTGGTTGTCCTGGCAGCCAGATCTGTTTGGTTGTCATGGCAGCCAGATATGTTTAGTTGTCCTGGCAGCCAGATCTGTTTGGTTGTCCTGGCAGCCAGACCTGTTTGGTTGTCCTGGCAGCCAGATCTGTTTGGTTGTCCTGGTAGCCAGATCTGTTTGGTTGTCCTGGCAACCAGAACATAAACTTGTGTGCATGCTGGACAGCTACTGATTTGACGGTAAATATCTGAGAAACTAGTGTTGTATAACCAAATACCAACTAGTGCTGTATAACCAACTAGTGTTGTATAACCAAGTACTAATAGTGCTTTTAAAACCCAAAACTACTATTGAAACCAACTAGTGTTGATATAACCAACACTACCAACTAGTGTTTTTAAAAACCCAAAGAAACTAAAGTGCTGTAAACCAACTACTTTTGGATAACCAACAGTGTGTATAACCAACTACCAACCAGGCTGATAACCAAGACTACTGGATAACCAAACCCTAGTTTTGGGTAACCAACTATGCTGTAAAACCCAACTCCCAAAACTGGGGTTGTAAACCAACAGTGCGGGTATAACCAAAACTCGTTTTGGTAAACCCAAAACTACCAAATAGGGCGTATAACCAACTACCAACTAGTGGGTATAACCAACTAGTGTTGATAACCAAAACTACCAACTAGGGTTGGTAAACCAACTACCAACTAGTGCTGTAAACCAACTAGTGTTGTATAACCAACTACCAACTAGTGCTGTTAAACCAACTACAACATGGTGCTGTAAAACCCAAAACTAGTGTTGTATAACCAACTACCAAACTAGTGGTTGTATAACCAACTACCCAACTAGGTGCTGTGTATAACCAACTAGTGTGTAATAACCAAACTACCAACTAGTTGCTGGTATAACCAAACTACCAAACTAGTGCTGTAATAAACCAAACTCGTGTTGTATAACCAACTACCAACTAGTTCTTGGTATAAACCAACTAGTGGTTGTATAACCAAACTACCAACCTAGTGGCTGTAGAACCAAACTACCAACTAGGTGCTGTATAAAACCAACCTAGTGTTGTATAACCAACTACCCAAACTAGTGCTTGTAGAAACCAACTAGTGTTGTTGTATAACCAAGTACTAACTAGTGTTGTATAACCAACATACCAAACTAGTGTTGTATAACCAACTAGTGCTGTGTATAACCCAACTACCAACTAGTGTTGTAATAACTTTACTAGTGCTGTGTATAACCAAACTAGTGGCTGTATAAACACAACTAGTGCTGTATAACCAACTACCAACTAGTGTTGTATAACCAACTAGTGCTGTATAACCAACTACCAACTAGTGTTGTATAACCAACTAGTGCTGTATAACCAACTACCAACTAGTGTTGTATAACTAACTACCAACTAGTGTTGTATAACCAACTAGTGCTGTATAACCAACTACCAACTAGTGCTGTATAACCAACTACCAACTAGTGTTGTATAACCAACTACCAACTAGTGTTGTATAACCAACTAGTGCGGTTAAACCCAACTTGTGTTGTATAACCAACTACCAACTAGTGTTGTATAACCAACTGCCAACTAGTGTTGTATAACCAACTACCAACTAGTGCTGTATAACCAACTAGTGTTGTATAACCAACTGCCAACTAGTGCTGTATAACCAACTAGTGTTGTATAACCAACTACCAACTAGTGTTGTATAACCAACTAGTGCTGTATAACCAACTTGTGTTGTATAACCAACTACCAACTAGTGATGTATAACCAACTAGTGTTGTATAACCAACTACCAACTAGTGCTGTATAACCAACTGCCAACTAGTGCTGTATAACTAACTAGTGTTGTATAACCAACTAGTGTTGTATAACCAACTACCAACTAGTGCTGTATAACCAACTGCCAACTAGTGCTGTATAACCAACTAGTGTTGTATAACCAACTTGTGTTGTATAACCAACTACCAACTAGTGCTGTTTAACCAACTTGTGTTGTATAACCAACTACCAACTAGTGTTGTATAACCAACTACCAACTAGTGCTGTATAACTAACTAGTGTTGTATAACCAACTAGTGCGGGTTTATAAACCCAACTACCAACTAGTGATGTATAACCAACTACCAACTAGTGTTGTAAACCAACTGCCAACTATTTGCGTATAAACCAACTAGTGTGTATAACCAACTACCAACTAGTGCTGTATAACCAAACTAGTTTTTGTATAACCAAACTAGTGTTTTTAAAACCCAAAATGCCAAACTAGTTGTTATAACTAACTAGTGTTGATAACCAACTGTGTTGTAAAAACCAACTACCAACTAGTGCTGTATAACCAACAGGGTGTTGAAAAACCAAAACTACCAACTAGTGGCTTGGTATAACCAACTAGGTGTAAAACCCAACTACCAACTAGTGTTGTAAAACCAACTACCAAACTAGTGCTTGTATAACTAACTAGTGTTGTATAACCAACTACCAACTAGTGCTGTATAACCAACTAGTGTTGTATAACCAACTAGTGCTGTATAACCAACTACCAACTAGTGATGTATAACCAACTACCAACTAGTGTTGTATAACCAACTGCCAACTAGTGCTGTATAACCAACTAGTGTTGTATAACCAACTACCAACTAGTGCTGTATAACCAACTAGTGTTGTATAACCAACTAGTGTTGTATAACCAACTGCCAACTAGTGCTGTATAACTAACTAGTGTTGTATAAACCAACTAGTGTTGTAAAACCCAAACCCTACCAACTAGGCTTTTAAAAACCAACTAGTGTTGTATAACCAACTACCAACTAGTGCTGTATAACCAACTAGTGTTGTATAACCAACTACCAACTAGTGTTGTATAACCAACTACCAACTAGTGCTGTATAACTAACTAGTGTTGTATAACCAACTACCAACTAGTGTTGTATAACCAACTCCTATAGTCATTGATCTGTTAGCTCCAACTGGCCAGTCTGTTAGCTCCATCTGGCCAGTCTGTTAGCTCCATCTGGCCAGTCTGTTAGCTCCCACTGACCAGTCTGTTAGCTCCCACTGACCAGTCTGTTAGCTCCATCTGGCCAGTCTGTTAGCTTCATCTGGCCAGTCTGTTAGCTCCCACTGACCAGTCTGTTAGCTCCAAGTGGCCAGTCTGTTAGCTCCCACTGACCAGTCTGTTAGCTCCCACTGACCAGTCTGTTAGCTCCCACTGACCAGTCTGTTAGCTCCAAGTGACCAGTCTGTTAGCGCCAACTGACCAGTCTCTGTTAGCTCCCAAAATAATTGCTATTCTATTTGGTGATCTCTTAGCCTGGTCCCAGATCAGTTTGTGCTGTCTTGCCAACTCATATGGATTTTGTCATGCAAACATGTACAAATCTGGGACCAAGCAAGTCATCTCCTGTCTGTTCTCTGACTGACCAGTGTCTCCTCTCCTCTCCTTCCTCCTCTTCCTCTCCTCTCCCTCCCAATCCCCTCTCCTCCACCTCTCCCCTCCCCTAGCCCCATCTCCTTATAACTTCACTCTCCTCTCATCTCCTCTTCCTCTTCCCTACTTCATCTACTCTAACCATCCTTTAATCCCTCTCCTCTCATCTCCTCTCCTCTACTCTCATCTCCTATCCTCTCCTCTCCTCTCCTCTCCTCTCCTCCTCTCTCCTCTTCAGGTGGTCGCCTGCTCTCCTGGGGGTGGAACGAACATGGGATGTGTGGGGACGGTTCTCAGACAGACGTCAGCCAACCACAGCATATTCCTGCCCTCCGGCCTCTTCTGATTGGCTGTGGAGCTGGCCACTCTATGGCACTGTGTGCTGTGAGGACAGGTGAAGAGAAGTCTACAGAGGACATGGAGATAGAACAAGCTACACTAGTTTGAAACTAGCACGTTTGAGCTAACTTATCAGGACTGTACCCGGGTAAGATGGCAGACCGTTTGTGCCACAGATTCAAACCCAATGTCCATTCTGTTGTTTTAGCTCTATGGCAGAGGAAACCCAGCTAAGTCTGGGGCATGAGAGTAATGTGCATTGATAAGGCATGAATCATGATAATTCAGTCTTTGAGGGATGTAGCCTCCGCGAAAATCTGGGAGGAGGAAATTGTAAATGATGTCAAGTATGTGGGTGTTGAAGCTGTGGCAAATAAACAAACCAGTAATGAAATTGTTTTTTTTTTTTGGGGGGGGGGGGCCAAAGTATGGCACACATTATTATGCAGGTTTGAATTTAGTACGAACTGTAAATTATAAGACCCTTTGTACCAAAACAAAAATAATATCCATGGCACATTGCCTCAGTTCTAGGAGCCAATAGTGCTGCTCTAGGATCAGGTCATAATGAATACGATAACATAGACTGGGGGGAGATCTGTTCCCAGGTCAGCAGTCCTACTCTGAGACTATTTATACATACGGCCCCAGGTCTGTATTCACACGGTAAAACATCATAATAAATATCGTTCTGGTGTTCGAGACGGGTGAGTTGTGTATGGTCGGGGACAGAGGCCATCATTCTCCCATGCCAGGCCAGAGCAGGCCGTCACGTTGATGGATATGATTGGGGGTCGGGGGGGAGATGGATACATAAGACGCGTACGTCTAGTCCAAGTTCATACGTCGTCGTCGTCGTCCCCCTCCCCTCCCCCTCCCCTGGTTCCCTCCCCTGGTTCCCTCCCCTGGTTCCCTCCCCTGGTTCCCTCCCCTCCCATGTCTTTGTGTCATGCGTTCTCATTGAATAACACGGCTATAGATGGTCTGAGTGATAGACCCGGTGCTGTAGTTCCATCTCCCCATGTCTGTCACTGGCCCGTTTATTGCAGTGATCTTGACTGTCAGAAGGCACTCAATCTCCTGGACTCCCTCGCTCAATAATACAGCTCTGTCAGGTTGAGTGGGGAGCGTCGCTGCACAGCTATTTTCAGGTCTCTCCAGAGATGTTTGATCGGGGTTAAAGTCCGGGCTCTGGCTGGGCCACTCAAGGACATTCAGAGACTTGTCTCGAAGCCACTCCTGCGTTTGTCTTGGCTGTGTGCTTAGGGTCGTTTTTCTGTTGGAAGGTGAACCTTCGCCCCAGTCTGAAGTCCTGAGCGGTCTGAAGCAGGTTTTCATCAAGGATCTCTCTGTACTTTGCGCCGTTCATCTTTCCCTCAATCCTTACTAGTCTCCCAGTCCCTGCCGCTGAAAAACATCCCCACAGCATGATGCTGCCACCACCATGCTTCACCATAGGGATGGTGCCAGGTTTCCTCCAGAAGTGACGCTTGGCATTCAGGCTAAATAGTTCAATCTTGGTTTCATCAGACCAAAGAATCTTGTTTCTCATGGTCTGAGAGTCCTTTAGGTGCCTTTTGGCAAACTCCAAGCGGGCTGTCGTGCCTTTTACTGAGGAGTGGCTTCCGTCTGGCCACTCTACTATAAAGGCCTGATTGGTGGAGTGCTGCAGAGATGGTTGTCCTTCTGGAAGGTTCTCCCATCTTCCATTTAAGAATGATGGAGGCCACTGTGTTCTTGGGGACCGTCAATGCTGCAGACATTTTTTGGTACCCTTCCCCAGATCTGTGCCTCGACACAATCCTGTCGCGGAGCTCTGCGGACAATTCCTTCGACCTCATGGCTTGGTTTTTGCTCTGACATGCACTGTCAACTGTGGGACCTTATATAGACAGGTGTGTGCGCCTTTCCAAATCATGTCCAATCAATTGAATTTACCACAGGTGGACTCCAATCAAGTTGTAAAAACATCTCAAGGATGATCAATGGAAACAGGATGCACCTGAGCTCAATTTCGAGTCTCATAGTAAAGGGTCTGAATACTTATGTAAATAAGGTATTTCTGTTTCTTATTTTTAATAAATTAGACAAATTTGTAGAAAAACCTGGTTTCGCTTTGTCATTATGGGGTATTGTGTGTAGATTAAGAAAAACATGTATTTAATCGATTTTAGAATAAGACTGTAACGTAACAAAATGTGGAAGAAGTCAAGGGGTCTAAATACTATACCATGCCTATGGGGTTATATGGGTGATATTTGTCATATTTACTGACGTTTTTCAGCCCATGGATAAGAGGTGATATAAGGATTGGATGGCTGGTAAATGTCTTCATTGAAATACTGTAGGTATTCTGTCAAATCATGTCTTGTTACAATTTTTCCAATTTCAATGGCCCTTGACTGTCTGAAGGTATCTTTCTGTGCATTCTCATCAGCGATCCTACAGTTAGCAGAATATATCACTATTACATTGTGTACTTTTATTTATGCAAAGAAATGACGATGTGAGATTGGGAGGGAGCCTAAAAGCAGTGATGTCACTGACTAAAAAATGGACACAAAATCACCATAAACAAATAACCTTCAAAAAAATAAACACACTGAAAAATAATTGTATGTGTTTTTTTTATTACACATCACTATTTATTGTACAAGTTTGACTCTGAACTGGTTAGAACTGGTCTGAACTGGTCTGAACTGGTCAGAAAAAAATACACAGAAATCCTTAAACAACAAACCAGTTGAAACGATCACTGAAGGGAACGAACACCTTGTTTGTTTTTAATTTAAATAACTATATGCACAAAACGTACGATGTTCTAACCAAACACACACTGTTCCGGTTTCACAAAAACGGCCCACGTTAGTTTCCTGTTTGTTGGGTTAATTATTCTGTTATAAAGGATTACTGCTGGGTCCTATTCATTAGGGCACACAACGGAATACAAAAATGAGTTTCTATTATTGGACAATTTTGAAGAAGTCCCTCCACGTTTCACTCCGTTTGCTGCCTAATGAACACGACCCTGTTGTTTGTTCCATGTTGGACACCATAGTTTCCCCCCAATTGTGCTCAGTGAGAGTTCCATCAGCAGCCATGTCAGGAAGCACATCAACATCTCAGGAAATTGTCAGTCAGTAGGCAGTGTGTTTTGCAGTGGTTTCATAAAAATGTTGGTCCCTTAATAACCACTGGATAACAATAGCTACTGTATTTAATATTACAAAGGATGTAAATTGGTCAATAACACTTGAATTAAAGCCTGCAGGTAATAATGCATTATGACGCGGTTATTCAGCAATGTCTTATTACATTATTCATTGTGACTCCTTTAGTCATTTAGAGTGGGGTCGTACATTTTACACATACAGAAACATAAGATATTATAAGCCAGATAATAAGACATTTTTTTTAAAGGTTCATATATGCTTATAACAAGTAGTAAACCATTATCCCTGCAGACGTTAGGTGAAGTATTACCAAATGATGCTTTTTACAACCAACGGCTAGTCCTTATCTTCATCTTTATTGTATGTTAATTCACCTTTGAATATCCTATACGTTGTGGGTTTGTTACGTTGTCTGTTGGTAGAATGTGAAACTAACAGTGGAACCGGGAGCTTTCAGATGTTGTACTGCTGATCGTTGATGTGGCTGACAGCTGAACAACCACACTGACTGGTCTTCCATGTTGGTTAAGATAAATTCCCCCCTGGGATGATTCAGCAAAACCGAGGCACTTTTCCACTACGATGAGTGACAATGTTCTGGCTATGATTTAAGGTTATGTTGGTTCACCTATTAAGTGCCCTCACATGCTAAAAGTAAAAACAAAAAAATGATGTTGGTTGAAAATATAGGCCTACTGTAGCTAATTGGTATTTTCAGCCTACAGCCGTGACGTTGAATAAGATGTACTCAATGTTATTCAACTGCAATCTTATGTTGATACTTGATATGCATAAATATGTGTGGCATTTCTATCAGGAAGTTAGCCCTAAAGGGGAATTTGCTTAACCACCAGATCTGGCCGTTATATAATGCCTTGGCTTCGTGATCAACAGAAAAGGAATGAGCGGTGTGTTTTTATTAATAATGATATTGCACGTCATTGTGTTTGGTCTCCTGTGTGGACATACATGATTTAATTCCTAACTTTGATATATTCAGTTATAATGAAAGGAATGTTAAAGTTCACAGGTGCAAACGGTGCAAAAGGCTATTATTATTATTACCATTATTATGAATATTATTCTGATTTTTTATTTTATTATTATTATTCTGATTATTATTCTGATTATTATTATTATTGTTATTAATAATATTACCCTCTATCATTATATATATATATATATATATATATATATATATGATCCTCATTATCATTATTATTGTTATTATTAATTGGTATTATTATTCTTATTAATATGATCCTCATTGTTGTTATTAATATTAATATTATTATTAATATGATCCTCTATCATTATTATTGTCATTCAGAAGTGACTATGACAGTGCAATTTACTATACACTTGCTGATAATTTGTTGAGGATTCTAGAAATAGAATCTCGTTCTAGAATCTCATTCTAGTTATCGAAGCAAAAACATTTTTTTTTTTTTTAACAGAAGCAGCACACAAAAATATTTGATAATCAATCAAAAAACATTTGGGAATACTAGTACACAACTTCTGCACACGAAAGCTAATATACAGGCACTAGGCACAAAATAGGCACAGAGCATTACAGCACGTTACAGCACAATAACCAGTCACAGATACTGAGCTACCCTAAGGCTTGACAACAACACTCCCTCTGTGCTACATCTATGCTGAGTTAGGATGTGTCTTAAAACCGAATGGCTTCACTATTCCCTATGTAGTGCACTGCTTTTGACCAGGGCCTGCATAGGTGGGTATAACCCTGTTCAAAACTAGTGCACTACATAGGGAATAGGGTGCCATTTGGTCTGTGATGTACAGGTTGCCAGTGTAACACCCATTTGTTTAAAACTGCTCATTTTATACACACAACAAACAAAGCTACTGTATTATCAGGTGGGGGGCTGGCGTTGGGGTGGGGGGGTCTTATTATGGGATAGACATATAGTGGTGGGAACACCATGGTTCATTACACAAACTGAATCTGATGCTGGTGGTCTGCTCCGGGGCTGTCGCTGGGTGGTCTCTACAAACATATCAAAAACAAAACAACAACACAAACAATTATTACAACAAATTATGTATGAGGGATAGGACGAAATGATGGAGATGAAGGACAGGGCAGGTGGCTACCTCTACTAGAACAGGTGGCTAGGCTAGGCTACCTCTACTAGAACAGGTGGCTTGGCTAGGCTAGGCTACCTCTACTAGAACAGGTGGCTTGGCTAGGCTAGGCTACCTCTACTAGAACAGGTGGCTAGGCTAGGCTACCTCTACTAGAACAGGTGGCTAGGCTAGGCTACCTCTACTAGAACAGGTGGCTAGGCTAGGCTACCTCTACTAGAACAGTGTAGGGGGGCAGGTGGCTAGGCTAGGCTACCTCTACTAGAACAGTGTAGGGGGGCAGGTGGCTAGGCTACCTCTACTAGAACAGTGTAGGGGGGCAGGTGGCTAGGCTAGGCTACCTCTACTAGAACAGTGTAGGGGGGCAGGTGGCTAGGCTAGGCTACCTCTACTAGAACAGTGTAGGGGGGCAGGTGGCTAGGCTACCTCTACTAGAACAGTGTAGGGGGGCAGGTGGCTAGGCTAGGCTACCTCTACTAGAACAGTGTAGGGGGGCAGGTGGCTAGGCTAGGCTACCTCTACTAGAACAGTGTAGGGGGGCAGGTGGCTAGGCTACCTCTACTAGAACAGTGTAGGGGGCAGGTGGCTAGGCTACCTCTACTAGAACAGTTGTAGGGGGCAGGTGGCTAGGCTACCTCTACTAGAACAGTGTAGGGGGGCAGGTGGCTAGGCTAGGCTACCTCTACTAGAACAGTGTAGGGGGGCAGGTGGCTAGGCTAGGCTACCTCTACTAGAACAGTGTAGGGGGGCAGGTGGCTAGGCTAGGCTACCTCTACTAGAACAGTGTAGGGGGGCAGGTGGCTAGGCTACCTCTACTAGAACAGTGTAGGGGGGCAGGTGGCTAGGCTACCTCTACTAGAACAGTGTAGGGGGGCAGGTGGCTAGGCTACCTCTACTAGAACAGTGTAGGGGGCAGGTGGCTAGGCTACCTCTACTAGAACAGTGTAGGGGGCAGGTGGCTAGGCTAGGCTACCTCTACTAGAACAGTGTAGGGGGGCAGGTGGCTAGGCTACCTCTACTAGAACAGTGTAGGGGGGCAGGTGGCTAGGCTACCTCTACTAGAACAGTGTAGGGGGGCAGGTGGCTAGGCTAGGCTACCTCTACTAGAACAGTGTAGGGGGGCAGGTGGCTAGGCTAGGCTACCTCTACTAGAACAGTGTAGGGGGGCAGGTGGCTAGGCTACCTCTACTAGAACAGTGTAGGGGGGCAGGTGGCTAGGCTAGGCTACCTCTACTAGAACAGTGTAGGGGGGCAGGTGGCTAGGCTACCTCTACTAGAACAGTGTAGGGGGGCAGGTGGCTAGGCTAGGCTACGTCTACTAGAACAGTGTAGGGGGGCAGGTGGCTAGGCTACCTCTACTAGAACAGTGTAGGGGGGCAGGTGGCTAGGCTAGGCTACCTCTACTAGAACAGTGTAGGGGGGCAGGTGATGGAATGACGGTAAATAAAATGTGCTCTGTTTCTCATCATGGTAAAGGTGTCAGGTTGACCATGTATTTCCCATGCTTCGATTCAAGGCAAAGGCATCAGACGGAGGAGACACACTGTTTGTTTGCAAACAAAAGGTTGGATTCTTGAGAATGTTAATATTCATGCCCAGATCATGCTGTTGTTGTACAGGGGTTCATTCAGTAGTTGCCATGCTCCCATAGTCTGAACTCATGGAAGAACTCTTTGACCCCGCACACAAGTACTGTTGGCTATACAACGGGCCAAAGCACTAGCTATATATGCTAGCGCAAAAAGTTACAAACATGAATGCATGTTTTGTCTGTTAAATAAAAACAGAGTCTAAAACACTGTTGTATACAAAATTTATTTCATGCAATGACTTTTTATTTTATTTACATCTTGTATTTGAATTATTTTCTTTTGCATAATGTAAAATACATGCATGTACTTTCCCCAATATCCCCCAAAACCCCATACTGTACTGTACTGGACCCTTATATAATTGCATTACATACGACCATATAGTTAGTTCACCTGTATCTCTTTTGACATGTTATCTTCACAAGGCTTTAACAGTTAACATCAAGCACCACCACAGCAGAGACATGATCAGACAAAAGGAAACGGAAAACCTTGCCAAAATAAAACAGGATATATTTTATTAGGATTAACGTTACTGATAAATAAGTCAACTAAAGACTTGTTAAAGTGCTTTTTCTCTATGTTTTAGTATATAAGTATTGGGGCTGAAAAAATACATATTCCTACAGATGTTAACGATATATCATCATGTCTGCAAACAGTTCATATTATCTCACTAGTAAATATTTTCATTTAACGTTTGGTATATTAAGTCGTGTTCCTCTTTTGAAAGTAGGTTCCTATATAAATGATTTCCTAAAACCACATAGTAAGTAAACGATCCCTGAATTTGGGTAAAAAATGACAGCTACATGAATTGTTCTGCTATGAGTCTCTTGCTATAGAATAAGCTGCTTCAAAATGTGCATAATAAAAGTTAGAAGCTTTTGAAAGAAAGCAAAATATTTTTCTTACATGTGATACAGTTAGCTTCTCGTTGAACATAATATCTCATGCAACACATGCAAATGAAACGAAAGTTTAGTTTCTGTTGACAACGAACGTATCATCATCACTAGTATCAGAAAAATCGTCACCATTTCCTCATTCTAGATTCATCATCATTCTAGATATCTTCCTCATTCTAGAATCATCATCATTATAGATATCTTCCTCATTCTAGAATCATCATTCTAGATCTCTATTCATTCCAGGTTTGAAATCTGTACTGGCACTTTCAGAGTTATAAAGTCTGTCTCATCACACACATCCTGTATTTAGAACGTCTTCACTTTGCAACAAATAAATACTTAAATGGGAGATACTCAACAACTTCTCTGTGTCCCAAATGGCACCCTATTCCCTATAAAGTGCACAACATTTGACCAGGGCCTGTAGGGCTCTGGTCTAAAGTAGTCCACTATGTAGGGAATAGGGTGCCATTTGGGCCGCAAAAACAGCTGTGCGCTCCCAAGTAAAACCATAGCTTCAGCATCAGAAACATTTTAAAGCAGGGGTTAAATACATCTTATGAAATTGTCTTTGTTTCACAAGTTTTTTGTTTTAAGAAGCAGATGTTATTAATATGGAACGGAAAGTCAAAGTATGAGAGATCAAAAGCAACAGGCAATGATAGAAAGGTAGAAGAACTAGACAATAGGGGATTACATCCTGTAGAATCAGATATCACACTAGTATATCATCAATGCTTTACTCTAGCTAGCTCTGAAGCTGAACTAGGCAATCCATGCAAAGAGGCCTGTGTGGCAATGTACTGAACATGGACTGGAGCTGATGACACTCCCAAGCTAACACCTTGTCTTGGGAGCATTTGTACCATTATTTAAATTTGGAGACAAATTGGGGACAGAAAAAAGAGAAGAAGAAGAAGAAAGGAAAGCAGGAGTAAGGGCAAGAGTAAAACTAAAGAGAGGAGGAGAGGAGGAGAGGAGGAAGAGAGAGGAGGAGAGGAGGAGAGGGCAGGAGAGAGGAGTAGAGAGGAGAGAGCAGTAGAGAGGAGGAGAGAGGAGAGAGCAGTAGAGAGGAGGAGAGAGCAGTAGAGAGGAGAGAGCAGGAGAGAGGAGGAGAGAGCAGTAGAGAGGAGGAGAGAGCAGTAGAGAGGAGAGAGCAGTAGAGAGGAGAGAGCAGGAGAGAGGAGGAGAGCAGTTAGTAGAGAGGGGAGAGAGAGCAGTAGAGAGCAGTAGAGAGGGGAGAGAACAAGTAGAGAGGAGGAGCGAGGGAGGAGAGAGGAAGAGCGAGTAGAGAGGGGAGAGGGGAGAGCAGTAGAGAGGGGAGAGCAGTAGAGAGGAGAGAGCAGTAGAGAGGGGAGAGCAGAGAGCAGGGAAGGTAGGGGCAGAGAGGGTGAGAGGAGAGAGGAGAGCAGTAGAGAGGGGAGAGCAGAGGCAGAGAGAGGGGAGAGAGGCAGTAGAGAAGATAGAGAGAGAGCAGTAGAGAGGGGAGAGCAGTAGAGAGAGAGAGAGAGCAGTAGAGAGGGGAGAGAGCAGTAGAGAGGGGAGAGCAGTAGAGAGGGAGAGAGCAGTAGAGAGGAGGAGAGCAGTAGAGAAGAGAGAGCAGTAGAGAGGAGGCAGTAGAGAAGAGAGATGAGAGAGCAGTAGAGAAGAGAGAGCAGTAGAGAGGGGAGAGGAGAGAGCAGTAGAGAAGAGAGAGCAGTAGAGAGGGGAGAGCAGGAGAGAGGAGAGAGGGGAGAGCAGGAGAGAAGAGAGAGCAGTAGAGAGGGGAGAGAGGAGAGAGCAGGAGAGAAGAGAGCAGTAGAGGAGAGAGGAGAGAAGAGAGCAGTGGAGAGAGGAGAGAGCAGTAGAGAGGAGAGAGAGAGAGAGCAGTAGAGAAGAGAGAGCAGTAGAGAGAGAGAGAGAGAGCAGTAGAGAGGGGAGAGGAGAGAGACAGTTAGGAGAGGGGAGAGGAGCAGTAGAGAAGAGAGAGGAGAGGAGAAGCAGTAGAGAGGGGAGAGCAGTAGAGCAAGAGAGAGAGAGCAGAGAGAGAGAGAGCAGTAGAGAGGGAGAGAGAGTAGAGAGGGGAGAGCAGTAGAGAGGGGAGAGCAGTAGAGAAGAGAGAGCAGTAGAGAAGAGAGAGCAGTAGAGAGGGGAGAGCAGTAGAGAGGGGAGAGCAGTAGAGAAGAGAGAGCAGTAGAGAGGGGAGAGCAGTAGAGAAGAGAGAGGAGTAGAGAGGGGAGAGCAGGAGAGAGGGGAGAGCAGTAGAGAGGGGAGAGCAGTAGAGAGGGGAGAGCAGTAGAGAGGGGAGAGCAGTAGAGAGGGGACAGGTCACATAGTGATAAGATTTATCCAGAAACATCCCATAGACACTTGTGGAGATCTGAGAGGATTGGAGAGGCTTAATTAAGCAATAATATATGGTGAGAACTCCACCTTGCCCTCTGATAGGCCAGGTGGAGCTATCACCATATTGCCTACACCTATCCAATCAGATCTCCACAAGTGTTTAGCAGGTAGTGGCTACCGCTAGGGGTTGAGTGTGGACAGGGCCAAAGTCTCCTAGTGAACCATGCTAGAGTTCAGAGAATGGATGGGATGGGGGAGTGTGAGTGCTGGATGAGACAGGATGGACTGCAGGGCAGGGCGGAAACGCAGGAGGACGACACTCCAGAGGTGTCATGGCCGCCCAGGCCGCTCACGCTCATGCCAGACATGCTGTTTAGGGCGCTCCAAGGCTTGTCATAACCTTCAGTTGGAAAACAGAGAGTGTTTTGAGTACAGTACAGTGCAGTGTTTTGAGTATAGTGCACTGAAAGTTGAGTACAGTACATTGCAGTGTTTTGAGTACAGTACATTGCAGTGTTTTGCGTACAATACATTGCAGTGTTTTGAGTACAGTACATTGCAGTGTTTTGCGTACAGTACATTGCAGTGTTTTGAGCACAGTGCATTGCAGTGTTTTGAGCACAATACATTGCAGTGTTTTGAGTACAGTACATTGCAGTGTTTTTAGTACAGTACATTGCAGTGTTTTGAGTACAGTATATTGCAGTGTTTTGAGTACAGTACATTGCAGTGTTTTGAGTACAGTACATTGCAGTGTTTTGAGTACAGTACAAGCCAATATGAATGTTTCTCTTTATTTCTTACAACCTGTTGCTTTCTTCTTTTTGTTTTCCTCCAAACACAAAAGTCAACAGATTTCAGTCAGTCAGCCAGTGAGGTCAACAACAGCATTATTGTCCATGCATTGACTGTCAGTAGTACCTGTATGCATTGACTGTGTCAGTAGTACCTGTATGCATCAGATGAAGCAGTAGCTAGTTCAACGGCATGCATGCAAAGGGTGGTACTGGAATGGTTTAGAAGAGCAGACAACACATGTTGACAGACAACTACGCCACCTGAGTGGGGTATACTATGTTGGCAGTCTGCTGCAGTATATTGGAGAATATGTTGGCAGTCTGCTACAGTATATTGGAGAATATGTTGGCAGTCTGCTACAGTATATTGGAGAATATGTTGGCAGTCTGCTACAGTATATTGGAGAATATGTTGGCAGTCTGCTACAGTATATTGGAGAATATGTTGGCAGTCTGCTACAGTATATTGGAGAATATGTTGGCAGTCTGCTACAGTATATTGGAGAATATGTTGGCAGTCTGCTGCAGTATATTGGAGAATATGTTGGCAGTCTGCTGCAGTATATTGGAGAATATGTTGGCAGTCTGCTGCAGTATATTGGAGAATATGTTGGCAGTCTGCTGCAGTATATTGGAGAATATGTTGGCAGTCTGCTGCAGTATATTGGAGAATATGTTGGCAGTCTGCTACAGTATATTGGAGAATATGTTGGCAGTCTGCTGCAGTATATTGGAGAATATGTTGGCAGTCTGCTACAGTATATTGGAGAATATGTTGGCAGTCTGCTGCAGTATATTGGAGAATATGTTGGCAGTCTGCTACAGTATATTGGAGAATATGTTGGCAGTCTGCTACAGTATATTGGAGAATATGTTGGCAGTCTGCTACAGTATATTGGAGAATATGTTGGCAGTCTGCTACAGTATATTGGAGAATATGTTGGCAGTCTGCTACAGTATATTGGAGAATATGTTGGCAGTCTGCTACAGTATATTGGAGAATATGTTGGCAGTCTGCTGCAGTATATTGGAGAATATGTTGGCAGTCTGCTACAGTATATTGGAGAATATGTTGGCAGTCTGCTACAGTATATTGGAGAATATGTTGGCAGTCTGCTACAGTATATTGGAGAATATGTTGGCAGTCTGCTACAGTATATTGGAGAATATGTTGGCAGTCTGCTGCAGTATATTGGAGAATATGTTGGCAGTCTGCTACAGTATATTGGAGAATATGTTGGCAGTCTGCTACAGTATATTATTACTCTCCCTGTATACTTTGGGATTTCGTCTTGTGTTCCAATTTCACTAGATCTATATTTACTAAAAGCCAAGAGATGAATCTCCTAATTTGAGGTTTGCATAAATGATGCATCGATGGCAATAGGAGATGTGTTAGGTCACTGTTGGATCTAACCCCAATAGCACAATGGCTTTTAGATACCAGTTAAAATAGTCTGGATTAGAGTTGGCGTAGTCATGCAATATCAAATAAATGCTACAATTTCAGGTTGTCATTGCAAATCTGGTTAAATAGAAGGTTAAATTAAAAAATATATAAATATATAAATCAGTTGGTATTATTTAAATGTTGTTCTTGAGTAACCTCATAACCCTGTACTCCTTTTGTGTTTGCTCCACCATCACCACACTAATAACACCCATCAGCTAGACAGGGCATGCGCCATAATGACAAGCTGATTCATAGTCAACATGATTATCATTAGTAGAACAAACATTCATGATACAGGCCAGTAAAACACAAACAGACATGATACAGGCCAGTAAAACACAAACATACATGATACAGGCCAGTAAAACACAAACAAAACATACATCAACACTTTCTTCACAAGCACATTTTATTTCATAGAAAAATTATACAATTGGTTGTCTTGTGTAAAATATGGTAGCTACATTATGTATGATATATATATATATATATATATATATATATATATATATATAAAAACATATAGAGGGATTGGGCTTCTTCTAGAGAAGATAAGATATGGTGATTGTGCTTGAGTTTAAGCTTCAGTCAGTGTGAACTATAGGATATTATACGATACTGTTTCCGTCAGTGTGAATTATAGGATATTATACAATACTGTTTCCGTCAGTGTGAACTATAGGATATTATATAATACTGTTTCCGTCAGTGTGAACTATAGGATATTATATAATACTGTTTCCGTCAGTGTGAACTATAGGATATTATATAATACTGTTTCCGTCAGTGTGAACTATAGGATATTATATAATACTGTTTGTCAGTGTGAACTATAGGATATTATATAATACTGTTTGTCAGTGTGAACTATAGGATATTATATAATACTGTTTGTCAGTGTGAACTATAGGATATTATATAATACTGTTTGTCAGTGTGAACTATAGGATATTATATAATACTGTTTGTCAGTGTTTAAGAGAGCATGTTGATCTGGAGGTTTTAACGTAATATTTTAAGATGTTTGTTTTGCAAAATTGAAACGGCTGATTGAGGTGTTGATGGTTCTATATCCCTACAGCTATATGTATCCTGGTGCTCTCCTGAGATATAACTGCAAGTATATACTGTACAATGTTGACTCTTTTTCATGAAAGCCTGTCCACCAAGATAGTTAGGCTCTACATCATAGCTGCAACGCAACTTCCAAAAGGATCACGTTCAAATAAAAGTGCTTTATTCTATCCAATGTCAGGATTATAAGACATTAAACCAACCATTACACCTTCAGGCCTGCCTAAGGGAATCTTCCCGTCTGATTGGTCTATTATATACATTTTATTTTTTATGTAACCTTTATTTAACTAGGCAAGTCAGTTAAGAACAAATTCTTATTTACAGTGACGGCCTACCAAAAGGCAGAAGGCCTCCTGCGGGGACAGGGGCTGGGGTTAAAAAAAAATATATATATATATAGGACAAAATGGGCCCTGATCAAAAGTAATACACTATAAAGAGAATATGGTGCCATTTGTGTCCTCTGTAGCTCAGCTGGTAGAGCACGGCGCTTGTAACGCCAAGGTAGTGGGTTCGATCCCCGGGACCACAAATACACAAAAATGTATGCACGCATGACTGTAAGTCGCTTTGGATAAAAGCGTCTGCTAAATGGCATATTATATTATTATTATATTATTTGGATACAAAACTCAATCTGATGGCCTCATGGGCTATTCAATAATGCCCAGTAATGTCCTGACCATCGGTTTTTGCCAAAGTATTTTTTAGAAGTCCCTGGCTTTCGCAATAGAGTCCCCCCCAAAATGTGTTAAGCTCAAAACATTATTTTTTACGCTTAAGTGTGTGTACATTACTATATTTATACTGGGATATCGCTTTTCAACGGGAAAAGTAAAAACATAGCTGGAGTGCGTCTTCAATTACCCGTTATGTTCTAAGGAGGTCAGAGTCCTCGTCTCCAGAGCTACAGGAAGTACAAGTTCAATCTACAAAGCCTTTAAAAAAAGACGTTGGTCAAAAGTAAGACAAAACCTTTGTAAAGTGACTGCTATCTATTGTTAGGAGTGAGACGTCTAACCAGAATGCAGATCTATAAAAGGAGGTCAAACCAGAATGGAGATTTGCTGGAACAATTTACAAAACTCATTACAGTTGGATGTTGTGGTGCCGCTCTGGCAGTTTAAAGAGTTGGTTGAGTCCCTTGTGGCTGAGGACCTCGTGGCTGAGGACCTCGTGGCTGAGGACCTCGTGGCTGAGGACCTAGTGGCTGAGGACTAGTGGCTGAGAGACTAGTAGTTGAGGACCTAGTGGCTGAGGACCTCGTAGTTGAAGACTAGTGGCTGAGGACCTCGTGGCTGAGGACCTCGTGGCTGAGGACTAGTGGCTGAGGACCTAGTGGCTGAGGACTAGTGGCTGAGGACTAGTGGCTGAGGACCTCGTAGTTGAGGACTAGTGGCTGAGGACCTCGTGGCTGAGGACCTCATGGCTGAGGACCTCGTGGCTGAGAACCTAGTGGCTGAGGACTAGTGGCTGAGGACCTCGTAGTTGAGGACTAGTGGCTGAGGACCTCGTAGTTGAGGACGTATTGGCTGAGGACCTCGTGGCTGAGGATCTAGTGGCCGAGGACCTAGTGGCTGAGGACCTAGTGGCTGAGGACCTAGTGGCTGAGGACCTCGTGGCTGAGGACCTCGTGGCTGAGGACCTCGTGGCTGAGGACCTCGTGGCTGAGGAACCCGTAGCTGAGAACCAAGTGGCTGAGGACCTCGTGGCTGAGAACCAAGTGGCTGAGGACCTAGTAGTTGAGGACCTCGTGGCTGAGGACCTCGTGGCTGAGGAATTTAACTGCTTTTCTTACATTTTGTGTTGGGCTGTATTTTGATTGTTGTTTTGTTTCACATTGTATTTTGATTGTTGTTTTGTTTCACATTGTATTTTGATTGTTGTTTTGTTTCACATTGTATTTTGATTGTTGTTTTGTTTCACATTGTATTTGATTGTTGTTTTGTTTCACATTGTATTTTGATTGTTGTTTTGTTTCACATTGTATTTTGATTGTTGTTTTGTTTCACATTGTATTTTGATTGTTGTTTTACTGTGATCAGGGAACCCTTGAGAACGAGACCCTGGGACTTCCCAGAATGCAGGTGGGTGTGGGTGGGTGTGTGTGGGTGGGTGGGTATGTGTGGGTGGGTGTGTGTGCGTGGTTGGGTGGGTGCGGGTGTAGGGCTGGGTGATATCGCCAAAACATAATATCCCAATATTTTTCTCATTTTGGACAGTGTGGTGGTATTTTATGTTTCGGAATAATAAAAGTTTGGAATATGTTTTATGAGTAGTGCATGACCCTTATAGGGCAACAAATGAGTTCTAAGTAGTTTTAATATCTTTCTAAATTCTGATAGTTTTCTCCTCAACCAAACTAGGACAAAGCTGACAGTGAAGTACAACAATTTGTACAACTTTTCATTTAATTTAGCACTGTATGAAAATATCGTTATATACAGCTGTGGAAAAAAATTAAGAGACCACTGCAAATTTTTCTTAAATCAGCATCTCTACATGTATGATAGCCATTCCATTCCAGTGTCTGTTGAATTCCAACACAGGCACACCTCATTCTACTGAATTAGGTACTGATTAGGTGATCACCTGAACCAAATCTTATTTAACGAGGAAAAGTATAAAAACCACTGCTGTGGTCATCACTATCCTCTTGCAATAGCACCAGCTGGATGGCAAAAACAGTGCTAATAGTACCTCAAAAGTAATATGAATCAAAAAATAACTATTGACCATGCCAAAAGAGTTGAAAAGGAAAGTTTTGAGTGAGGAAAAGAAGGGGTCAATTCTGGCTTTACTGGCAGAGGGATACAGTGAGCGTCAGGTTGCTTCCATCCTTAAAATGTCAAAGACGGCGGTTCATAAGAACAAGGTCAAGCAGCAGACATTGGGGACAACAAAGCTACAGACCGGCAGAGGGCGAAAACAACTCTACTGACCGGGATGACCGCCAACTCATTCGAATGTCACTCAACAACTGTAGGATGACATCAAGTGACCTACAAAAAGAATGGCGAACGGCAGCTGGAGTGAAGTGCACGGCGAGGATGGTTCGAAACAGGCTCCTAGGGGCAGGGCTGAAGTCGTGCAAAGCTAGAAAAAAGCCCTTCATCAATGAGAAGCAAAGAAGAGCCAGGCTGAGGTTTGCAAAAGACCATAAGGATTGGACCGTAGAGGAGTAAGGTAATCTTCTCTGATGAGTCCAATTTTCAGCTTTGCCCAACACCTGGTCGTCTAATGGTTAGACAGAGACCTGGAGAGGCCTACAAGCCACAGTGTCTCGCACCCACTGTGAAATTTGGTGGAGGATCGGTGATGATCTGGGGGTGCTTCAGCAAGGCTGGAATCGGGCAGATTTGTCTTTGTGAAGGACGCATGAATCAAGCCACATACAAGGTTGTCCTGGAAGAAAACTTGCTTCCTTTTGCTCTGACATTGTTCCCCAACTCTGAAGATTGGTTTTTCCAGCAGGACAATGCGCCATGCCACACAGCCAGGTCAATCAAGGTGTGGATGGAGGACCACCAGATCAAGACCCTGTCATGGCCAGCCCAATCTCCAGACCTGAACCCCATTGAAAACTTCTGGAATGTGATCAAGAGGAAGATGGATGGTCACAAGCCATCAAACAAAGCAACAGTAGGATCTGAATTTTTGCGCCAGGAGTGGCATAAAGTCATCCAACATCAACGTGAAAGACTGGTGGAGAGCATGCCAAGACGCATGAAAGCTCTGTTTGAAAATCAGGGTTATTCCACCAAATATTGATTTCTGAACTCTTCCTAAGTTAAAACATTACTATTGTGTTGTTTAAAAAATGAACATAACTTATTTTCTTTGCATTATTCGAGGTCTGACAAAAACTGCATATTTTGTTATTTTGACCAGTTGTCATTTTCTGCAAATAAATGCTCTAAATGACAATATTTTTATTTGGGAGAAATGTTGTCAGTAGATTATTGAATAAACCAAAAATGTTATTTTTCCCCAAACACATACCTATAAATAGTAAAACCAGAGAAACGGATAATTTTGCAGTGGTCTCTTAAATTTTTTCCGCAGCTGTATATTGCCAAGCCCTGTGTGTGTGTGTGTGTGTGTGTGTGTGTGTGTAATAATAATAATAATAAGCCATTTAGCAGACGCTTTTATCCAAAGCGACTTACAGTCATGTGCGCATACATTTTTACGTATGGGTGGCGTTACAAGCGCAAAGCTCTACAAATTGAGCTACAGAGGTGGTTGTGTGTGTGTGTGTGTGTGTGTGTGTGTGTGTGTACATGCACGTGCGTCTGTGTGTCAGGTTAGCGTTTTTCATCATGTAACTTGTTCTGGAGGCAGCTCTGCTGAATTACTAGCTAGTAAAATCAGATTTTAACCCTACCCCTTAACCACACTGCTAAACCTAATGCCCAACCCTAACCTTTAAAGGGAAATTAAAAAAAAAATGTTCAGCTTCATATTCATCATTTCCAGCACCACCCCAACATCAACGTGTGTGAAAAAAAATTCTGTTTTGTAGTAAAAAAAAGATAAGAGGAAGATAAGTGTTACCGATGACATCATCTGTGTGCATCGTGTGATTTTAACCAATTGTGAGTGGGCATTGCCTACTAATTGCCTACTAATTGCCTACTAATTGGTTGATGATGTCATTGGAAACACTATATTATTTACTACAAAAACTTAGAAACGCGCCATTTTCACATTTGTTGATGTTGGGATGGTGCTGGAGATGAATGAAGTAGATTTTTATTTATTTAAATTAAGACCAAAAAAAGCACATTTTTGTTTTCATACATTTTTACAAAATAGCCAATTTTAACTTTGCAGCTGGCCAATCTAAGGGGAAATCGCTCAGTTCTGGCTCCAGGACAAGACTCATGACAATAAACGTCAACCTGCGGTCTGTGTGTGTCAGACCACAGGTTGACGTTGTGTCTGTGGTTGTGAATAATCAAGTCGTAGGGAACGCAACACGTTTGATAGTGGCCTGTGTTTGGCTGTTACAGTACGTAACTCTCCTCCCTCCTCCCCCTGTGTGGTTGGGCTGTGTTTGGCTGTTACTGTAGGTGTACGTACCCCTCCTGACTCTTCCCCCTGTGTGGTTGGGTCGTTCTGCAGCTGTGGTGACGAGACAACAAGGCCGTTCTCTCTCACTGGGGCTGAAGATCTCCTCTGGCGAGATGGCCTGGTCTATATGAGGACAGTCCTCATTGGCTAGTGCTGCGTTGGCCGCCTCCCCATTCAGCTTGGAATCTTCAGACAGACAGACACAAGAGATTCAACAGAAATATAATTAGAACACCTATAAGAACATTATTATTATTATTTAAATTTAGAAAATCTCTCTGGGAGATCCAGACAACACAATCAAACACTGATCAAAAAAAGCATTTGAAATGCTGCTTGTCCAACTGCCAAACAAAAGACTAGAGAAGATGAAAGTAGAGATATGGGCATCCAATTCAATACAACTTGATGTATTCCCTGGGAAGCTAACCTCCCTTCAATCGGTGCTGAGCTCTGGCTAAAGTTTAATCATGAGGTTTAGTAACAAACCACTACTTTGCCAGTTTAATTATCCCACTTTGAAAATCTTAGAAGATGGGGTACAATAGCTTTATGTCAAGTGCTACATTCTGTACTGCACATATCCTAGCATGCTTCAAATCAAATATTACTGACTAAATGAATTATAATATCGCTGATTTCGACAGTCAACAGTAGGATCTGAAGCATTAGGATACTACAGTGTGTACAGTAGTATTGGTGCGTGATGGTGCATGGACTCAGATGGTTAGTGGGTGTAGTGGTGGGTGTATGGATGGTATTTTAGTATGGTACGTGGGATAGTGTCAATGTGAAAAAAATATGTTAGCCTAAAACATCAACCCTCTTGACAAGTAGTAACCTAGTACCTCAGTAGCAGCCTAGTACCTCAGTAGCAGCCTAGTACCTCAGTAGCAGCCTAGTACCTCAGTAGTAGCCTAGTACCTCAGTAGCAGCCTAGTACCTCAGTAGCAGCCCAGTACCTCAGTAGTAGCCTAGTACCTCTAGCAGCCTAGTACCTCAGTAGTAGCCTAGTACCTCAGTAGCAGCCTAGTACCTCAGTAGTAGCCTAGTACCTCAGTAGCAGCCTAGTACCTCAGTAGCAGCCTAGTACCTCAGTAGCAGCCTAGTACCTCAGTAGCAGCCTAGTACCTCAGTAGCAGCCTAGTACCTCAGTAGCAGCCTAGTACCTCAGTAGCAGCCTAGTACCTCAGTAGCAGCCTAGTACCTCAAGCAACCTAGTACCTCAGTAGTAGCCTAGGACCTCAGTAGTAGCCTAGTACCTCAGTAGCAGCCTAGTACCTCAGTAGCAGCCTAGTACCTCAGTAGCAGCCTATTTCGTCTGTAGCAGCCTAGTACCTCAGTAGCAGCCTAGTACCTCAGTAGCAGCCTAGTACCTCAGTAGCAGCCTAGTACCTCAGTAGCAGCCTAGTACCTCAGTAGTAGCCTAGTACCTCAGTAGTAGCCTAGTACCTCAGTAGTAACCTAGTACCTGTAACAGCCTAGTACCTCAGTAACAGCCTAGTACCTCTAACAGCCTAGTACCTCTAACAGCCTAGTACCTCAGTAACAGCCTAGTACCTCAGTAGTAACCTAGTACCTCAGTAGCAGCCTAGTACCTCAGTAGCAGCCTAGTACCTCAGTAGCAGCCTAGTACCTCAGTAGCAGCCTAGTACCTCAGAAACAGCCTAGTACCTCAGTAGTAGCCTAGTACCTCAGTAGTAACCTAGTACCTGTAACAGCCTAGTACCTCAGTAACAGCCTAGTACCTCTAACAGCCTAGTACCTCTAACAGCCTAGTACCTCAGTAGTAGCCTAGTACCTCAGAAACAGCCTAGTACCTCAGTAGTAGCCTAGTACCTCAGTAGCAGCCTAGTACCTCAGTAGCAACCTAGTACCTCAGAAACAGCCTAGTACCTCAGTAGCAGCCTAGTACCTCAGTAGCAGCCTAGACCTCAGTAGCAGCCTAGTACCTCAGAAACAGCCTAGTACCTCAGTAGTAGCCTAGTACCTCAGTAGTAGCCTAGTACCTCTAGCAGCCTAGTACCTCAGTAGCAGCCTAGTACCTCAGTAGCAGCCTAGTACCTCAGTAGCAGCCTAGTACCTCAGTAGTAACCTAGTACCTCAGTAGTAACCTAGTACCTCAGTAGCAGCCTAGTACCTCAGTAGCAGCCCAGTACCTCAGTAGCAGCCCAGTACCTCAGTAGCAGCCTAGTACCTCAGTAGCAGCCTAGTACCTCAGTAGTAGCCTAGTACCTCAGTAGCAGCCTAGTACCTCAGTAGCAGCCTAGTACCTCAGTAGCAGCCTAGTACCTCAGTAGCAGCCTAGTACCTGTAACAGCCTAGTACCTCAGTAGCAGCCTATTTCGTCTGTAGCAGCCTAGTACCTCAGTAGCAGCCTAGTACCTCAGTAGCAGCCTAGTACCTCAGTAGCAGCCTAGTACCTCAGTAGTAGCCTAGTACCTCAGAAACAGCCTAGTACCTCAGTAGCAGCCTAGTACCTCCAGTACCTCAGTAGCAGCCTAGTACCTCAGTAGCAGCCTAGTACCTCAGTAGCAGCCTAGTACCTCAGTAGTAGCCTAGTACCTCAGAAACAGCCTAGTACCTCAGTAGTAGCCTAGTACCTCAGTAGCAGCCTAGTACCTCAGTAGCAGCCTAGTACCTCAGTAGTAGCCTGTGAATGTAATCAATGGTCAGCACTAATGTGTCATACAGTTACTAAGTATAGTGTCCAGTACATTTCTCAACAACACCTCTAAGACAGGGCTGTCCAACCCTGTTCCTGGAGAGATACTCTCCTGTAGGTTTTCAATCCAACCCCAGTTGTAACTAACCTTATTCAGTTTATCAACCAGCTAATTATCAGAATCGGGTGTGATGGATTAAGGTTGGAGTTAAAACCTACAGAACGGTAGCTCTCCAGGAACAGGGTTGGGGTAAAACCTACAGGAGGGTAGCTCTCCAGGAACAGGGTTGGAGTAAAACCTACAGGAGGGTAGCTCTCCAGGAACAGGGTTGGAGTGAAAACCTACAGAACGGTAGCTCTCCAGGAACAGGGTTGGGGTAAAACCTACAGGAGGGTAGCTCTCCAGGAACAGGGTTGGAGTAAAACCTACAGGAGGGTAGCTCTCCAGGAACAGGGTTGGGGTAAAACCTACAGGAGGGTAGCTCTCCAGGAACAGGGTTGGAGTAAAACCTACAGGAGGGTAGCTCTCCAGGAACAGGGTTGGAGTGAAAACCTACAGGACGGTAGCTATCCAGGAACAGGGTTGGGGTAAAACCTACAGGAGGGTAGCTCTCCAGGAACAGGGTTGGGGTAAAACCTACAGAACGGTAGCGCTCCAGGAACAGGGTTGGAGTAAAACCTACAGAACGGTAGCTCTCCAGGAACAGGGTTGGAGTAAAACCTACAGAATGGTAGCTCTCCAGGAACAGGGTTGGAGTAAAACCTACAGAACGGTAGCTCTCCAGGAACAGGGTTGGAGTAAAACCTACAGAATGGTAGCTCTCCAGGAACAGGGTTGGAGTAAAACCTACAGAACGGTAGCTCTCCAGGAACAGGGTTGGAGTAAAACCTACAGAACGGTAGCTATCCAGGAACCTCTGTAATTTCCTACAGTAACAACATTGTTGTTATCGATGCCAAATGATTACATGGTAACAATCATTAACTTTGTACCAGAACTTTAGTTTATGGAATCCCTTACATATCTTTACATAAGCCTTACAAATCTATGCATTTTCATTACATAATCATGACTTTACATAATCACCCGTGACAGATCTATAGGGGTGTGTGTGACACTGATGCAGATGCCAGACAGGTTGTGTGAGTGCCAGGAAGGCGGCAGTGAGTCATTGGCTGCGTCCCAAACTGCACCCTATTTACATTTTAGTCATTTAGCAGACGCTCTTATCCAGAGCGACTTACAGTTAGTGAGTGCATACATGTTTTTTTGTTTGTTTCGGGGGGTTTTTTCATACTGGCCCCCCATGGGAAATGAACCCACATCCCTGCCGGCCATTCCCTCCCCTACCCTGGACGACGCTGGACCAATTGTGCGCCGCCCCATGGGTCTCCCGGTCGCGGCCGGCTGCGACAGAGCCTGGATTCGAGCCAGGATCTCTAGTGGCACAGCTTGCTCTGCGATGCAGTGCCTTAGACCACTGCGCCACTCGGGAGTTGTCTATTCGTCCCAAACTCCACCCTATTCCCTACATAGTGCACTGATTCTGACCAGGGCCCATAGGACTATAGGGAAAAGGGTGCCATTAGGGCCAGGAGGACTGAGAGAATCAATAGGGGGATTACTCATGGTCACACTCAATCTCCCTCTTTTCTCCCTTTCTCAAGAGTATCATTCTGTTAAGTCATAGAGCTTATTGATCCTTGAATGAGAGATTTCATTTGTTTAATCGGATGTGGCTGAGTCACATGATTGAGACACTGGTAGGATGAGGGGAGGGCGTCTACAGACTAAACAGTGAGAACGATGGAGTTGCAGGAGAACAGAGAAGAAAGGAAGTGGACAGAAAAAGAGATACAACGGTAACTCTATAAGACAGACTGTCAGCCTTTAGTTTACAGTTTACAAACACATCTATCATGGTTTCTTACCTGGAAACTTTACTTCGAAGACGTCGTCGTGTGTCAGAGCCATGTTTTGAGCCAGAGCCAAAACGGGGTGGACTAAGTTCGGGCTTTCAGGAAGGAGCGGTGCTTTATGGGGCGTTGGAGGAGAGTTGATGCTGGACTTACAGTAGTTGGGTGATCCCGGTTGGGGTGCTCGGGGGATATGCTTGTTCTTCTTCTTTGGTAGCTTCTGCTTCGCCATGGCCAGGGAGTAATACATTCCAAAGTTGTTGACGATCACGGGGACGGGCATGGCGATGGTCAGTACACCCGACAGGGCGCACAGTGCGCCGACCAGCATGCCCGACCACGTCTGGGGGTACATGTCGCCGTAGCCAAGGGTCGTCATGGTAACAACAGCCCACCAGAATCCGATGGGGATGTTCTTGAAGTGCGTGTGCTCGCTGGCGCGCGGGTCGGTCGGGTCTGCTCCCATCCGTTCGGCGTAGTAGATCATCGTGGCGAAGATGAGGACTCCCAGGGCGAGGAAGATGATGAGGAGGAGGAACTCATTGGTGCTAGCTCGTAACGTGTGACCCAGAACCCTCAGGCCCACGAAGTGACGGGTCAGCTTGAAGATACGCAGGATCCTGACAAACCTCACCACCCTCAGGAACCCCAGAACATCCTTAGCCGCTTTAGACGAAAGCCCGCTCAGCCCGACCTCCAGGTAGAACGGCAAGATAGCCACGAAGTCGATAACGTTGAGAGCTTTCTTCATGAACTCCATCTTGTCCGGACAGAATATGACTCGCATCATGAACTCAAAGGTAAACCAGACCACGCAGACGCCCTCGATGTAGGTGAGGTAGACCACCGTCTCCGTCTCCTGGTAGACATGCTCCACCGTCACGTTATCCACCAGCTCCAGCTCGGTGCGGTTCACGATGGGGTTGAAGAACTCGTGGGTCTCCAGGCAGAAGGTGGAGATGGACACCAGGATGAAGAACAGAGAGGCCAGGGCTATCCACTGTGGAGGAGGGGAGGGGAGAGAGAGAGAGAGAGAGAGAGAGAGAGAGAGAGAGAGAGAGAGAGAGAGAGAACGGGGGATAGAGTTCACTTTATTTGAAGGGTACCGTTAAAACACATTCCTAATACATTAATAACACATTGAGAACACATTAATGAGAAGTACATAGAACTACAGAAGAATGAAGAACAGGGCTATCCACTGTGGAGGAGGGAGAGAGAGAAGGGAGAGAGAGAGAGAGGGAGAGAGAGAGAGAGAGAGAGAGAGGAGAGAAAGAGAGAGAAAGAGAGAGAAAGAGAGGGGAGTGGAGGAGAGAAAGAGGGGAGTGGAGGAAAGAGAGGGGGGGAAGAGAGGGAGAGCGGGGAGTAGAGGGGAAGAGGGAGAGAGAGGGGGGAGGAGAGATAGAGGGGAAGAGGGAGGAGAGAGAGAGGGAGAGAGAGGAGAGAAAGAGAGAGAGGGCAGGAGAGAGAGAGAGTAGGAGAGAGGAGGAGAGGGGAGAGAGAGAGTGGAGGAGATCCTCTGCATTATCATTAACAGCAGACTTGTACATTTCCTCAGTGAAAACAATGTACTGAGCAAATGTCATATTGGCTTTTTACCAAATTACCGTACGACAGACAACATATTCATCCTGCACACCCTTATTGACATACAAACAAAACAAAGGCAAAGTCTTCTCATGCTTTGTTGACTTCAAAAAAGCTTTTGACTCAATTTGGCATGAGGGTCTGCTATACAAATTGATGGAAAGTGGGGTTGGGGAAAAATATACAACATTATAAAATCCATGTACACAAACAACAAGTGTGTGGTTAAAATTGGCAAAAAACACACATTTCTTTCCACAGGGGCCGTGGGGTGATACAGGGATGCAGCTTAAGCCCCACCCTCTTCAACATATATATCAATGAATTGGCGAGGGCACTAGAACAGTCTGCAGCACCGACCTCACCCTACTAGAATCTGAAGTCAAACGTCTTCTGTTTGCTGATGATCTGGTGCTTCTGTCCCCAACCAAGGAGGGCCTACAGCAGCACCTAGATCTTCTGCACAGATTCTGTCAGACCTGGGCCCTGACAGTTAATCTCAGAAAGACAAAAATAATGGTTTCCCAAAAAAGGTCCAGTTGCCAGGACCACAAATACAAATTCCATCTAGACACCGTTGCCCTAGAGCACACAAAAAACTATACATACCTCGGCCTAAATAACAGCGCCACAGGTAACTTCCACAAAGCTGTGAACGATCTGAGAGACAAGGTATGCCATCAAAAGGAACATAAAATTTGACATACTGTCACGAACCGGCTCAAAGTTCGTAACAAAAGGGAGACACCGTGGAGACAAGGAATACCAAAATATATATTTATTAACTAAAGTAAACTAAGCATAATTAACAATGGTGTGTGTAATCAGTAATCAGTAGTGTAAGTGAGTGTTTTGCATAAATGTAATAATGCAAGGTGTTGAAAGGTGCCAACGCAAACAACCAAAAAGCCACAAAAATACCACAACCAAAATCAATCAAGGTGTCTGCATGGAGAGAGTCTCCTCAATGAATGTGGAAGAGGTCCATTTATCCTGGGACACGCCCAAGCCCAGGTGTTTCCCATGTAGCTGACGACCCTCTCAACTCCGCCCACCGACATCCTAATAAGGAAACAAGAGCAAAGAGAGAGAATACGGCAGGCAGAGTGGGAGGGGCGTCACAATACCAATTAGGATCTGGCTAAAAATACTGGAATCAGTTATAGAACCCATTGCTCTTTATGGTTGTGAGGTCTGGGGTCCACTCACCAACAAGGAATTCACAAAATGGGACAATCACCAAATTGAGACATAAAACCGGGGACCAACAAGGACCCCGGAACAACGTACCAGCCTCTGCGTCCCAAATTAACAAGTTGTTACATGTTCACACCTCCACTTGCCCCAGCCAACATCCTCCTCCCCAGACCTCAGCATCCTAAACATTCAGGAACAGGGCGCACGAGAGAGCGCATCAGCAATCACGTTATCAGTTCCCCGGATGTGCCGCACATCTAGATGGAAGGATTGTAAAAATAAAGACCATCTCATTATCCTCTGATTAGGACACATCATGGACCTTAAAAAGGTGAGAGGGTTATGGTCCACAATAGGTACTACTCCCGACCCGACATACACTTCGAAGTGTTGCAGCGCCCATATGAGTGCTAGCGCTTCTTTTTCAATGACCGAATAGTTCAACTGATAAATGGTTAAACTTTTTGGAAAAGAAACTAACAGGCCTCTCAACCCCAGACACATCTGCTTGCAGCAAAACTGCATCTGCCCCCACATGACTAGCATCCACCTGCAAGGTAAATGACAAATCCACACGAGGAGCAGCCAGTACCGGAGTTGAGGTAAGCAACCTCTTTGCATCTTCGAAAGCCTGTTGACAACGAGAAGACCATATGTACACAGCCTTAGCTTTCAGCAAATCTGTCAAGGGAGAGACCACAGTAGAGAAGTTCCTACAAAAACCACGATAATACCCAATCATTCCCAAGAAACGCATCAGTTCCTTTTTAGTAGTTGGTGGTGGAAAAGCATCAATAGCTACCACTTTAGCCCGAACAGGACTCACTTCACCCTGCCCAACCACCTTTCCAAGGTATGTAACAATCGCCTGAGCAAACTCACATTTAGCCAAATTTATCGTGAGGCGACCCGCAACCAGACGTTCGAACAAGGCTTGGATACGGGACAGATGTTCCTCCCAAGTATCGGCATATATCACTACATCGTCCAGATAAACAGCGCACCTGGCCAGACCAGAGACAACCCTGTTCATAAGTCGCTGAAAAGTGGCAGGTGCATTACGCAGGCCGAAACTCAGTGACATCGTTTACCTTACGGTAGTCTGTACAAAATCTGTTTGTTCCATCCGATTTACTGACCAAGATACAGGGAGAAGCCCAACTGGAGAAAGAAGGCTCTGCCACTTTACTCTCCAGCATGTACCTGACCTCAGCATCCAGACAACGCAGTTTCTCTGAAGAAACTCTATAGAACCGTTGATGAATGGGGTCAGCATCTCCAATGTCAATATCATGTTCTATTACATTTGTAGGTGTATCAGAAAACAACCCTGGAAATCTCAGAATCAGACCAACCATCTCTTTCCGCCCATCAACAGGTAGAGTAAGAAGGCTATCTAAAATCTCCAGTGTCTCTGAATTTTTCAATCTACCCTGCAGTATGCAATCGTCGGGACCAGGAACATCTTCCTCCTCATGCAAAGACCTAGCATGACCAGAACCCAGGGAAATAACAGTATCAGCCAAAACAACAGTTTTACCGTCCTCTGTAGACTCCCACTGTTCAGTCTTAGAGGAACGTGCATAATAGGTTTTTAACAAATTTACATGGCACAGTTGGTGTGCTTTCCTCCGTTCTGGAGTGGCAACTAGATAATTTTGCTCAGTGTACTGGCGCACCACTGTATATGGACCTTGAAACTTGGCTTGAAAAGGAGAACCAACAATTGGCAGCAGAGCCAAAACCTGATCACCTGGACTAAAGTGACGAGGCTCAGCTCGGCGATCATATATGCTCTTCATCCTGTCCTGTGAAGATGATAGCTTCTCTTTAGCCATTTCACCAGCGGCATACAAGCGTCGCCGGAAATCACACACATATGATAACAGGGACTGAGGAGGCTCGGGAGACTTCCAGTCATCCTGGAGAACAGATAAAAGCCCACGCACCCTATGTCCAAACACAAGGTCATTTGGACTAAAACCCATGCTCTCCTGTGAAACCTCCCTAGCGGCTAACAGTAACCAAGGCAACCCCTCCTCCCAATCCATCTCAGTACAATAAGCTGTCAACAAAGACTTAAGTGTTTGATGGAAACGTTCCAGTGCTCCTTGACTTTGCGCATGATAGGCACTAGACAAGTTGTGTTTAATATGGAGCTGTTGGAGAACCTGACCAAAGAGATTAGAGGTGAAATTAGATCCTTGATCACTTTGAATGACCTTAACATCCTTATCATTTATTGCCCTCCAGGTTCCCTTGGAGAGTTCATCAATGAGCTTGACGCCTTGATAAGTTCCTTTCCTGAGGATGGCTCACCCCTCACAGTTCTGGGTGACTTTAACCTCCCTACGTCTACCTTTGACTCATTTCTCTCTGCCTCCTTCTTTCCACTCCTCTCCTCTTTTGACCTCACCCTCTCACCCCTACTCACAAGGCAGGCAATACGCTTGACTTCATCTTTACTAGATGCTGTTCTTCTACTAATCTCACTGCAACTCCCCTCCATGTCTCCGACCACTACTTTGTATCCTTTTCTCTCTCGCTCTCCTCCAACACTACTCACTCTGCCTCTACTCAGATGGTAATGCGCCGTCGCAACCTTCGCTCTCTCTCTCCCGCTACTCTCCCCTCTTCCATCCTATCATCTCTTCCCTCTACTCAATCCTTCTCCCTCCAATCTCCTGATTCTGCCTCCTCAAACCTCCTCTCCTCCCTTTCTGCATCCTTTGACTCTCTATGTCCCCTATCCTCCCGGCCGGCTCGGTCCTCCCCTCCTGCTCCGTGGCTTGACGACTCATTGCGAGCTCACAGAACAGGGCTCCGGGCAGCCGAGCGGAAATGGAGGAAAACTAGACTCCCTGCGGACCTGGCATCTTTTCACTCCCTCCTCTCTACATTTTCTTCCTCTGTTTCTGCTGCTAAAGCCACTTTCTACCACTCTAAATTCCAAGCATCTGCCTCTAACCCTAGGAAGCTCTTTGCCATCTTCTCCTCCCTGCTGAATCCCCCCCCCCCTCCCTCCCTCCCTCCCTCTCTGTGGATGACTTTGTCAACCATTTTGAAAAGAAGGTTGACATCATCCGATCCTCGTTTGTTAAGTCAAATGACACCGCTGGTCCTGCTCACACTGCCCTACCCTATGCTTTGACTTCTTTCTCCCCTCTCTCTCCAGATGAAATCTTGCGACTTGTGACGGCCGGCCGCCCAACAACCTGCCCGCTTGACCTTATC